TTGAGTGGGTGTTGGTTAGCAGCAGGTACTGCTGCCCTGTCCCCCTATTACTTTCTATACTGTTATAAGCTTCTTCTAGGGCAATTACCTAAAAGTGTTGCTACATCAGCAGCTTTGGGATGAAATGTAACATTTCACTCTAATTCTCTAGAATGGACGAGAGACAGTTGATATTATATATGGCAGTATGCATGGTATGTTCACGGACTTACTCATTGGCGAAAACTATCTTTCTTCGAACTTCTGAGGTGGCCTGATATTTGGTTGCTTTATCAAAGCTACGACGACCACATGGCCATGCAGTATGCCATTTTTATGAGATGTTAATAGCTTGCTATTACGAGTGTGACGAACTAATAATAATCAGTCTCGGCCCCTGCTTCTGCTCACCGATGTGACACAATAGTCTTCATCGCACAATGTCACCTCTATCTCTCATAAACGCATGCGCCTCGCCTACCTTCCTCATGTCTTCGTCGGCCGCCTTATTAAGTGGTCATCTGTCTAAAGCTAGGACTTTCTACATCGTTTAGGAGTACCTTATCCCTTCCCTCAACATAATGCGAGACCACGCTCATCGGCAGTCTCGGTGCTTTTGACTAAATCGGCTAGTAAATTGTATCTGAGCGCACGCTAATAGGTCAGAAGGAGTCTGCGCTGAAGGATCCGAAACCCTCAACGGCGGGCCTATGTTCCGAAGTCTCCAACTCAGATTCAGAACACGTTTACAAGACTGTATTTGTTAGGATGATCTAAGAACTTGGTGGCCTAATATTTAGTTAAGGGTTGACTCATGTATTGAGAAATTTGAAATATTAGGTTTGAAATTTTACTAGGCTAAGCAAATTAGATATGATGTAAATTCATTTTGATTAAAGCAATACGATGAAATCAAAAGAACTTAAAATACACGACTCCCTTTTCCTTTTCCTTCGTCTGAAAGAAGTCTCGTTATCTCCACTTTAGTGTGCTTGTGTGGTTTCAAATGCGGGATTTGTCATCTCCGCCTCCGCAGTGAACGCTTCCGCCCGCTACTTCTCCATGATGATTATGCTGCCTGGCGTGAACACGGCTTTCACGGTCGGGCTGACTTGGGCTGCTAACGCCGTGCCTCGTCTGCCGGTCAAGCGTGCTGCACTGCTCGCTCTATGCAACGTGTGCTCGAATTGCTCGAGCATATACGGTCCCTTCTCGTACCCTTCATAGACGGCGCCGCGGTACTTGATTGCCATGGGCGTCAATGGGGATACGGCGCTCTTGTCAATAATAGTTGCAACGGGGTTTAGATCCTATCTCAAGAGACTCAACAAGAAGCTTAACAGAGGAGGGCATTGAAGATGGTCATGGCCGCGGCGAGAGCATTACACAGCAAAGAGAGGATACAAGGAGGGGCTTACGTACTTGTACTAGATAGTCCGATTCATTCGTACCAACGCAAGTCGCGTCAGCCTTAAGTTTAGCTAGTCATCTCTCTAACCGTGAAGTAGTCTCGAATTTCGTAGAAGCGTGATTGTCACAGAGAATCTGATAAGTCTGACTAATCCCAAGCTGATCTTATGTTCTGCACCCTTTAGGCTCTCCTAGTCAGTTGACAATATCTTGTGCACCCCCGGTCTTGGGTTCCGCGATCTTAATATTTTTCGTTTCTTATCCCTCGAGAACGATTGGCTAGGATATGCTCGAGGGTAGAGTTCACTGGGATAGGTATGGACCCCCATATAACTGCCATAAGAGGAAAATTCATGTGCTAGAGATATCAAGCGATATGTGGACTATGTCTTATGAAGAAAAAAGGATTGCTTACTTTGTATTTAGAGGGTTCTTCTTGATTTAGGTGTCTATACTAAGAATGCACTTCTCATGGGAGTTAGACGGAAGGACATTACTTCGATACACCCTCCGCCGGGGTATTTAATGT